GCGATACCAAAGCGAGCAAGCTCTCCCCTCGCACTCTCCGCTGTGTCTTCCTGGGCTTCCCCACCGACGCTCCACCCTGGCAGTTCTACCACCCTGCCTCGCGTCGTGTTCTGTCCTCTCAGGATGTCACCTTTGACGAGTCGGTCTGTTACTACCGACTTCACCCGCACGCGTCCCACCCGGTCCCTCTCGCACCTCTCTTCCTGGTACCAGTCCCCCCCCCGGTAGACCCCCTTCCCCCACAGGGTCCTGCTCCCTCAGGTGTGTCCCAGGTAGACCCACCCCCCTTGGATGAGCCAGTTGAGATCTCTTCTGACTCCTCTGACTCACCTGAGGGGGGTGACGCCGTCGCCGACGACACGGCGACCACTCGCCGCACTCCTCGCTTGGAGACCCCCCCGGGTTTCCCGCCACGGCCGTCTTCGCCGCCTCTGCAGCCTGCTGCTGTGGACACTGGAGCAGAGACTGAGGGTACTGAGCCTGCGGGTGCTGGGACTGAGGGTACTGAGCCTGGAGGTGCTGGGACTGAGGGTACTGAGCCTGGGGGTGCTGGGACTGAGGGTACTGGGCCTGAGGGTGCTGCGACTGAGGGTACTGAGCCTGCGAGTGCTGAGACCGAGGGTGCTGCCTCTGGGGGTGCTTCGAGTTCGAGTGCTGACTCTGGGGGTGCTGCGAGTCCTTCTGGTGTTGGTGTCGTCGGAGCTCCTACCGGAGGTACTGGAGGTACTGCTGGTGCTGGAGGTCCTGGAGGTGCTGCTGGTGCTGGAGGTCCTGGAGGTGCTGGAGGTACTGGAGGTGCTGCTGGTGCTGGAGGTCGGGGAGCTGCAGGTGCTGCTGGTCCTGGTGGAGCTGCTGGTGCTGGAGGTACTGGAGGTGCTGCTGGTGCTGGAGGTCGTGGAGCTGCTGGTGCTGGAGGTACTGGAGGTACTGCTGGTGCTGGAGGTCGTGGAGCTGCTAGAGCTGCTGGTGCTGGAGGCGCCGAAGCTGCTGGGGCTGGAGGTGCTGGAGGTGCTGGAGGTCCTGGTGGAGCTACTGGTGCTCTTCGCCACCTTCTCAGACTTCAGCCAGGTGCTACTGGCTTCCCTGTGGCAGGTACTACTCCTCCGTTGCTGTGTCCACCGGCGGACCAGTCACAGCCGCCGCTGCTACCACACTCCACACTGCCTGCTCCTGCTCCTTACACTGCAGTGTCAGAGTCCCTGACTGAGCGTCGAGAGCCTGAGACTCGTGCTTCCACCCCTGAGCGTCGAGAGCCTGAGTCTAGCTTTGACCTTGAGCCTGAGCCTAGAGCTGCTGTCCGTGCTCGTGTTCCTCGTGTTCGTCGTCAGCGTGCTCCGGCTGTCCCCGGCACTCACGATATGACACTCCGTCCTTCCTCTGTTCCTCAGCATGTTGTCCTACCGTTACCTCCTGCGTCTTCTTTGCCTGACGTTGCTGACCCTCCGTCTGACCTTACTCGTGCGTCCAGTCCGACTGTTACTCGCCTTCTTGCTACGGTTGTGACGGACCCTACGTTCTCGTCTCCTGCTGCGTCTGCCCTAGTAGCTGAGCTCGTTAACTTTGCTGCTGTGTACCGCCTAGACTACCTTGCGAGTCTTGTCTCTGACCCTATCCCTGCCTGTCCTCCGTCCGTCGGGGGTGAGACTGCTCTTGGCTGCACTGCCCTCTTGAGGACAGACAGGAGGAGTTGGAGTGCCTTGCTGCCGCTTCACCCCATCACGCGACCATGCTGCTTGCCCCTGAAGGAGACCCGGATGCACTTGACATCCCCACCCCGCGCTCCTACAGGGAGGCGATTTCGGGTGAGTACTCCTCTCAGTGGCAGACAGCCATGGACGCAGAGATGGCTTCCTGGAAGTCCACAGGCACCTACGTCGACGAGGTTCCCCCACCTGGGGCGAACATCGTCAGTGGCATGTGGATTTTCAGGGTGAAGCGGCCGCCGGGTTCTCCGCCTGCCTTCAAGGCACGTTACGTTGCTCGAGGCTTCAGTCAGCGTGAGGGGGTCGACTTCTTTCAGACCTTCTCCCCCACCCCGAAGATGACCACTCTTCGGGTGTTGCTACACGTTGCAGCTCAGCGTGACTACGAGCTGCACTCCCTCGACTTCTCGACAGCTTTCTTGCAGGGTAGCCTTCACGAGGCCATCTGGTTGCGCCGTCCACAGGGCTTCACTGGGTCGTTTCCTGCGGGTACCCAGTGGAGCCTACGGCGACCAGTGTACGGCCTGCGTCAGGCGCCCCGTGAGTGGCACGACACACTGAGGACGACACTTGCGGCTCTTGGGTTTGCTCCTTCGACTGCTGACCCGTCGCTGTTTCTACGCACCGACACTACTCTGCCGCCGTTCTACATCCTCGTGTATGTCGACGACTTGGTTTTTGCTACTGCTGACACTGAGGCACTGACCCTAGTGAAGGCGGAGCTGCAGGAGAGACACACCTGCACTGACCTGGGTGAGCTGCGGAGCTATCTTGGCTTGCAGATCACCCGGGAGAGAGCACGGCGCACCATCACCCTGACTCAGTCACACATGGTGCACCAGGTCCTTCAGCGCTTCCGCTTCACGTACTCCTCGCCACAGCCCACTCCTCTGGCTACCGGCCACTCGCTCTCAGCTCCACCTTCGGACGAGTCCGTAGAGCCGAGTGGTCCGTACCCAGAGCTTGTGGGCTGCCTCATGTACCTGATGACGTGCACACGACCTGACCTCGCGTATCCTCTCAGCCTTCTGGCTCGCTACGTGGCACCCGGCAGGCACCGAAAGGTGCACTTTGATGCTGCGAAGAGGGTACTGCGTTACTTGTGCAGCACATCGGGCATGGGGCTCGTGCTTGGAGGACGGGGTCCTGTGGTCCTCACAGGACACTCTGACGCTTCTTGGGCTGACGACCAGGCGACTCAGCGTTCGTCACAGGGCTACACCTTCAGTCTTGGCGCTGGTTCTGTCTCGTGGAGGTCCACTCGTTCTTCTTCTGTGCTTGGTTCCAGCTGTGAGGCCGAGATCTACGCTGGGGCCATGGCTGCACAGGAGCTCCGTTGGCTGACCTACCTGCTGACCGACTTGGGGGAGCGGCCTCGTTCTCCTCCAGTTCTGTACGTCGACAACAAGGCAATGCTTGCCTTGTGTCGCGAACAGAGACTGGAGCACAGAACGAAGCACATTGCTCTGCGCTACTTCCTTGCGCGTGAGCTGCAGCAGCGTGGTCAGCTGCGCCTAGCTTTCGTGGCCTCTCGGGCCAACACTGCTGATGTCTTCACCAAGGCCCTTGCGGCTGGTGATCATCAGCGTTTCTGCACTGCTCTTGGGCTTGTGCCCACTCTGCCTCACGTGCTGGTTGCTTGACTTGCTCTTGTTGTACACTGCTATATATCTTTATACCTGCATGTTTCCTCTTGCTAGGTTGTGATCTGTGTACTGCCTTGCTCTTATAAATCTGCATGTGAACTGGCCTTGTGGCTGCCTGCTTGTGCTCAGATTGTGTGGTGTTCTTGAGATCCACCCTGGGTTTTGCCTTGCTTGTTCTCTTGCTTGACTGGTCTTGTGACCACTGTTAGGCTTGGCTATCCCCTACTTCACCTATGGGGGTGTGTCAAAACATATTGTTCTGCTTATTTCACTCTAGGTTGTGTAGGGTTCTTTCCTTAGAGGGTACAACAATCTCTCTCGATAGTCCTTGTACCCCCCCCTTACCTAATCAAACTCACTCATCTAGCTAGTAACTCTAACATATACTTGCTAGGGTATGATCACTGTACTGTTTGTTCTCTTTTATAGAACTCTGCTTGTGAACTGGCCTTGTGGCCTTTGCTTGTGCTCGGAATGTGTGGTGACTTCGTGATCCACCCTGAGCTTGCTTTGCTTTTCTTGACTGGTCTTGTGACCACTTGTTCTCCCCCACTTTGCTTATGGGGGTGTGTCAAAATGTTATATTGCTTACTTTGTGTAGGCTATAGTGGGGTAGCCCATAAGGGGTATAACCCAAGTAGGGTTAGTACTTGTACCCAACACTTTCATAGTTCATTGATTCTCGTTCATTAGTTTGACACCTTGCACTAGTATGTGAGAACAAGATGAGTTGATTATAGCAAAGAGATACAAGGTTTTATATGATTACAAGGAATACGAAAGGTTTAATTGTAACTGCTCTTGCAGTTCGATACAGCGACGACTCGGGTAACTGCTCAACAGCGAGTCAGTTATTTGTCCTTGCTGTCGCGCTGCCTTTGTCGAGTCAAAGGTTGCTGACATTTGACCTTCGCTTCAACCTCCTGCTGTTGTCGCCTTGTCGACCGCTTTGCTGTACCTTGGTTGACTTGGTGTTGCTTCGTTGTAGTCCGCTTCGCTTACGTTTTAGTGTTCGACATTTCAGAAGTGCAAACTAGATGTTTCCAACACCTGGCTAGTGGCAAGAATGAGTTGGTGGCAACATGAAGTTTTGGAGCGCACGAGATTGGTCCAAGAAAGAGAGTCAGCCAATCGCTTGGGTTCCAAAGTTCTAGGTGTTAAAGTAGGCTCTTAACTCTTGACTTAGTGACTTCGGGTTTACCTAGAAAGCATTGGTGTCGAGAGGGTTGGGCAAAAGTGGAGGTTTCACTATTGAGCAATGTGTAAATAGAAAACAAGGGAGGTGCACCACCTATAGGAAATACCTCAAACACTACAGTAACTATAGCAAACAGTTTATATAATAAACATAAGTTTAACACTAGGTTGACACCAACTCACTCTTGCCACTAGCCAAGGATACGACCTTAGTGGTACACACTTCATGTTCACACATCCCACTTTCACTAATGTATTTACAGCACTAAACCACCAAGCATCATGGGGTATTTTGTGAAGTCAAAACAATGATTCCTTCATCCATGAAATATGCTTGCTTTTTTACATCCAATTCTCAGTATACAACAACTCCCTACCTTCGGCATTATAAAACGACACACTAGAATCAACAGCATGCACCACAACAAGCAAGCCATCCTGCGTGCAACCAAGCCTACCCCCATGCCGACCATCTCGTTCCCGACTGCAGCAGCGTCCGCGAGTACCCGCCTCCTGCCCCTCTCCCTTCCCCTCCACCTCTATCCCCCCCACGTTCTCCCCCATCCCCCCTCCCAGCACCAGGTGGGAACCCACCCCCAAACCCCGAAGGCGGAGGGCGAATCATGTTCATAGTCTTAGGCGCCTGGCCCTGCTTGCGCTGCCTGTCCTCCTGCTCCATGGCCCTCAGCTTGCTCTGAATCGCCGCCACCCGCGCCCGCTTCGCACCGTCTGCTGCCGACGCTGTCGCCACCGCTGCTCCCGCACCTCCCCCTCGTCCAACCCCCGCAGCCCCCACAGCCCCAGCAGCACCAGGTACAGCGCTGGTGGGTGTGGCAGCGGTGGTGGTGGTGCCGGTGTGTCGGTTCCACACGGGGGCATCGGTGTTGTATGTGACCACCTTCTCATCCACGAATCGCACCACCAGTGGCCGCCCAAACACTGTCCGACCGTTCATTTTGGATCGCGCCAGCTCAGCTTCCTGATTGGCGATGTGGGTGATGTGAGGGGGAGACGGTGTGAGTGGTTTGGGAATGTGAGTGGGAAGAGGGTGTGAGTGGGGAGAGGGTGTGAGTGGGGAGAGGGTGTGAGTGGGGAGAGGGTGTGAGTGGCAAGAAAATGTTAGCTTCACTATCAGTTACACAGACTTCTTACAAGGTATCTACATATGTATGCCGTCCGTTATGTTGCCACCCATTCTTGAGTTGACTCAAAAGTCTTCTCACATGAGGTATCTACGTATGTATGCCGTCCATAACGTTGCCACCCATTCCACAAGCATCTCACTGAGGAAGGCGGACCTCTCACTGTGCACTCCCCACCAACCTCTATCTCACATCTCAAAACCCACTGCTCTCTTCTCAAAACCCACCCTTTTCTTGGTCTATCCACCTCTCCATTCCACCCACCTCGCGCTTGCTGTACTCAACGAAGGCATAGCCGCGGGGCTCGCCCCGCTTGGGTCCGTACGTGTGCCACAGATACTCCTCACGGCGGATCTTGCCGTATGGAGTGAACATCTTGATCACGTGGTACCTGCGGGGCGTGTGGCATGGGACAGGCGCCAGCACGGCGCACACATGGTGATAACGAGGTGGCTTTAGAGTTGACCGAAAGGTCATCTTGCCGTATGGAGTGGACATCTTGATTACATGGTGCCTGCAGGGCGTGCAGCCTGTGACGTGTCATTACAGCATGCATGACATGTGGCATGAATCTTGCCACGTGATCCAAACACCAAGATCACAAGGTACCTGCAGGGCATGCAGTATGCAGCACGTGCCTCCCAACACATCTCGCTGAGAATTCTCAAGAACCACTCACTCGGTGACGCGGTGGTCCAGGTTGCCCACATACAGCTTGTTCTCCGTCCGCTCGTCCGGCGGCGGACCCGACCTGCCCGACGACTCCTGTGGGTGCGTGGGTGCGGGGGAGGGAGGGAAGGGGGTCGGGGGAAGGAGGGAGGCAGAGGGATTGGCGCGTAGAGCAACGACTGTTGGCCAGTGGAGCGCTAGCAGTGCTAGGAGCTGTCCACATTAATGTGACAAGTCGAAGGAGGAGAAAGGACGGCGAGGAAGGAAAGTTACGACATGTGCGATGAGTCAAAACGACTACCAGTTTCGCGCGAGTTGAAGTTGAAAATTCAGGCACGTACCTTTCGTTTGTCGTACGGATGCGACCTCGACGAAGGTCTATCGCGACCCGCCTTCCCTACGCCGCCGTCCATTACAGCAAACCCAAGCGACTTATCCCTGTATACCGCTGCGTACAACTGCCAACCGCTGCTTATAGCTGTCTACCGCTGTCAGGGCAGACGCCGATATCGACCCCAACCTCTAAATCCTTTCGTCGCCGTCCCTGCTGTTCGCAACTGGCTGGGTCGGGCTCACGACTGCACGACGACGATATGTGCGCTGTTTCTAGTAGCGTCGAGGCGACCTTGTCCTGTAGCTGACCCGACTAAGGTAACTACTTGTAGGAGAAACAGGAAGAACCCTAAAGAGTGCACGATGGTTCCACGGTTCACAGACGATACGCGGTGAACGCTACGACTGGCAGACAGGATTCAAGAAGCTTACGTCTTAGGATTCTAACAGTATCCAAGAAAACGAGCAGAGCTATGGTGTTCGCTTAGGTCGGATAACGATCAGAGCGAAGCTATGCGATGGTGACTCGCGAGGAGCGTGCTGGTTGTCCGGCAGCAGAAAACCGTGAAACTTTTAGACCTCGAGCGAGTTCTTTCTTGTGCTTGCTGCTGTGCTAGCCGTGAGAAGCGTGTATTGTTTTGCATCACAACGCACGGGCGTTGTGGTTGTCAGTCGGCGAGCAATCTGACAAACAGCAAACAGCATCCCCAAGAACCCCTGAGGTTTCGCTAGCTAATTGGTTGGCTTTCCCTGGCGATGAGAGGGGTTTCCGCTGAGGGAAAAGGCAGAATTTGCTGTTCTCGCCAGAATCAATCTCGAGGCGAGATATCTTTCTAGAGAGTGTTCCGCGGATTCATCCAATTCGGGAAACTGCAACATCCTTTCAAAGCGTCTTCGGAGGATTTGCGTGCGGTACAATCAATTTCAACACCGAGTTTCCTCTCATGGCCAGCATATGGGAGTGGCTTGTATGCGAATAAATTCAGTGAACACCGAGTTTCCTTCTAAATTTGCTCATCTGTTTCACCTCAAATGTCGATTTGCGGAGACGTAGAATACTCCCAGAACCGATTCAGGAGTCGAGCTGGTCTTGGATCTAGTTGCAGCAAGAAGCATCATCTTTCACCGATTCTCACCTAGCCTCTCTTTTGACCAAACTTCGCAGAATCTCGCACCGCTAAGATGTCGACCAGGAAAGAGGAGTTTCGAAAGGGAGCGCGACCTAAGCAGGATGACGGTGACGGTCACCGACGGAAACCGTTCCGGAGACCGACGGAGGGCGACTCGGATGACGATTATTCGTCTGACGAGGACGCGGTGCCGAAAGGAAAGCGTGCGAAGGAAGCTGTCGCATCGCGAGGCCGAGGCGCGGATCCTGGCGAAAGGGCGAAGGCCGCGAAGGGCTCTGCGAGCGACAAGCGAGTGAAGGGTGCTGCTGACGTGTCAGTTAAGGATCGGCCGAAGGTTCAGTATTCGTCGGATGAATTTTCGGCGGAAGAGGAGGACGAGGAAGAAGCAGATCTCGTGCATACGAAGAAACGCGACGGGATGCACAGCAGAGTCAATGGCGAGGGGAAGACGAAAGAAGTGAAAGGCCTGAAGGGCGACGAGGAGAAATTGGGTGTCTTGGGAAGTAAAGAGTCCGGGAAAGTGAGCTTTAAGAAGGGAAAAGGGCCTCGAGACGGTGGTGAGAAGGGAGAGAGGGAGGACGAGGGTGGGAAGGGCAAACGGTCGTTTCGACCTGGTAGGAGGGATGAGGAGAGCGAGGAGTGGGACGAGGAGGAGGAGGAGGATGGGGGGGAAGTGGTTAGGCGGGAGGTGAAAGGGGGACTGGCGCGAAGGGAGGAGGATGCGCGGAGGAAGGGGGGTGAGCGCGAGGGCCGCGACTTGGGGCGGGAGAAGGAGAGGAGCAAAGGGAGGGATAGGAGCGAGCGGGAAAGGATCGAGAGGAAAAGGATTGAGAGGGTGAGAGCGGACGAACGAGAGAAGGAAGAGCGAGCGAGAGAGAAGATCCGGAAAGAGAGGGAGAGGGAGAAGGAAAGGGAGAGGGAGAGAGAGAGGGAGAAGGAGAGGGAGAGGGAGAAGGAACGAGAGAGGGAGAGGGAAAGAGAGAGGGAGAGGGAAAGGGAGAGGGAGAGGGAAAGAGAGAGAGAACGGGAGAGGGAGAGAGAGAGGAGAGAAAGGGAAAAGGAAAGAGAACGACGGGAGCGAGAAAAGGAGAGGGAGAGGGAAAAGGAACGCGATTCCAGAAGGCGAAGGAGAGAGGCGGACGATGAAGGGGATGAGGGCGGGAGGAAGGGGCAGGGCGAGGAGGGGAGACGGAAACGCGCGAAGGACGATGAGGGTGGGCGGGGCGAGAGAGGCGCAGAGGCGAAGGTGGAAAAGGAGAAGGGGAAAGATGAGGGGAAGGGGAAGGATAAGGGGAAGGAAGAGAAGGGGAAGGAGGAGAAGGGGAAGGAGGAGAAGGGGAAGGAGGAAAAGGGGAAGGAGGAGAAGGGTAGGGAGGAGAAGGGGAAGGGCGGTGAGGGGGAGGAGGAGATGGATGCAGAGCAGCGGAGGCTGGCGGAGGAGATGGAGAGGCGCAGACGGAGAGTGCAGGAGTGGCAGGAGCAGCGCAGGAAGAAGGCGGAGGAGGAGCAGGCGCGCGCAGCTGCAGGCGCAGGGGGGGAGGGGGGAAGTGGGGGCGCGGGGGGGAGCAGCGCGGCGCAGGCAGGTGGGGGAGGGAAGGGACGCAGGTGGACTCTGGATGGGGAGTCGGATGATGAGGAGGAGAAGGGCGGGGGTGGGGATATGGAGGGGACGGAGGGGAAAGGGGGGGACGGGGGGAAAGGGAAGGGGAAGGAGAAAGTGGAGGAAGAGGGGGAGGGAGAGGAGGGACGGGGAATGGATTTGGACGAGGGAAGAGAGGGAGAGAAGGGAGAGGACGAAGAGGAGGGAGAGAAGCAGAAAAGGGATCTGAAGGGGAAGGGCAAGGAGGAGGAGGCAGAGGAGGAGGAGACGGAAAAGGAGGAGGCAGCAGAGGAGGAGGAGGAGGTTGATCCTCTAGATGCGTTCATGAACTCGTTGGTTCTCCCAGAGGTCGCCAAGCTAGACGCCAAGGATGCCGCCTGGCCCGCCGCCCGGGCGGGAGGCGCAGAGCCAGCAGCGGGCGGCAGCAGCTCGTCCCAGGCTGCCAACGGTGGAGATGCGCTGATGGGTGCAGGGGCTGCTGGAGGGGCGGACAAGGTTGGCGCCAAGGGGAAGAAAGAGAAAGAGAAGGAGAAAGGGAAAGCAGAGGGGAAGAGGAAGGGCAAGGGGCCCAAGGGGCGCATGGTGTTTGGTGTGGACTCTGAGTCAGAGGACGAGGGGGGAGGGGCAGGCGAGTCAGGGGAGGAGGAGGAGGGCGAGGAGGGAGGGGAGGGAGGCAAGAAGGGAGAGGAGGAGGATGCGGAGTTTGTGAAGCGAGTGACAGCCGTGGCGCAGACCAAGGCGGAGAAACTCGCCCCTGTCGACCACTCGCAGGTGCAGTGCCTTCATCCATGCACATTGTCGACTACACGCCCCTGTGGTGGGAAAGGGGGACCGGATTTCCTCCTGGGTTCACCCAAAGGCCTCCCCCCCCCCCCCCCCCCCCCCCCCCTCACCCCTCCCCCCTTCCCCCCCCCGAAAAAAATATATCAAAAAAAGCACGCCCCGGTGGAGTGCACCACTTCCAGGGTGCCTTAAGAAGAACCCTTTCGGTATTTTTTTGAAATGTCTAGCTATTTTCTTTCGGCTCAAACGTTTTGGGAAAATTTATAGGCAGGTCTCAAAAGGTTTTGTTGTTTCAGGTGCGTGCGGCGTGCCTACCTTCTCGTCCCCCGGTGGACCGCTGGCAGACGCACTACAAGCAGTTCCGCTCGAACCTGCGGTGTGAATACACTACAATCTTTTCTCGAGGTTCAGACGTCACGTCTCTATCCTTTCTTGACGCACCTCGAGCGCCCAGATTCTCAAGGCGCCTGAAAAGCCTCAAAAGGCGTGAATTTGCACAACCCCATACACCACTGGCAGGTGCACAACGAGGCGTTTCGATAGGGTTTCTACAAGCAGGTGAAGGAAGTGGCAAACATGACAGCGGACGAAGTGGCTCTGTACCGGCGCGAGCATTAGTTCAAGCTGTGCGGCAAGGATGTGCCCAAGCCGGTCCCTGAACCACCTCACAAGTCCCAAACTTTACCATATTCCCTCCATCGCCTCACCCTCCATCCCCTCCCCCTTCCCCCTTCCCTTTCCCCTTCCTCTTCCCCCGCCCTTCCCCCCCGTCCCCCTCTTTCCCATGAACCACTGGCAGATGCATTACGAGCCATTCAGGAAGAACTTCTACAAGGAGGTGAAGGAGGTGGCGAAAATGACAGCGGACGAAGTGGCGCTATATAGGCGCGAGCACGAGTTCAAGCTGCGCGGCAAGGACGTGCCGAAGCCGGTGCACACGTGGGTGCAGAGCGGGCTGAGCAACAAGGTGCTGGACGTGCTCAAGAAGATGGGGTTCGAACGGCCCATGCCCATCCAGGCGCAGGCGCTGCCTATCGTGATGAGCGGACGAGATTGTATCGGGATCGCCAAGACGGGATCTGGGAAGACGCTGGCGTTCGTGCTGCCCATGCTAAGGCACATCATGGACCAGGTAAGGGGGGAGAAAGGGCGTGGGGGCATGGGGGTTGGGAGAAGGCGTAGCATGGCACATCAGGGAGCAGGTGAGAAGGGGGTGGGAGGGTTGTAAGGACGTACCGAAGCCGGTGCACATGTGGGTGCAGAGCGGGCTGAGCAACAAGGTGCTGGACGTGCTCAAGAAGATGGGGTTTGAGAAACCGATGCCCATTCAGGCGCAGGCGCTGCCTATTGTGATGAGCGGGCAAGACTGCATTGGGATTGCAAAGACGGGATTGGGCAAGACTCTGGCGTTCGTTCTGCCCATGTTAAGGTACATCATGGACTAGGTGGGTGGTGAGGAGGGGGAATAGTGCAGCACCCACAGCAATCCGAGGACAGTCCCATAAGACTCATCCTAGCCCCCATGAGGGAGCTCGTGCAGCAGATCTTCGATGACATACCCTTTCCCCCTCCCCCCCTCCCTCCCTTCCCCGCCTTCCCCCCACCAGCCCCCACTGCAATCCGGAGACGGTCCTATCGGCCTCATCCTGGCGCCCACGAGGGAGCTCGTGCAGCAGATCTTCACGGACATCCGCCGCTTCGCGCGCCCCCTCGGCCTCTCCTGCGTGCCCGTCTATGGCGGCTCCGGCGTGGCACAGCAAATCAGCGAACTAAAACGCGGCGCCGAGGTCGTGGTGTGCACGCCCGGGCGCATGATTGATATTCTGGCGACCAGCAACGGGCGCATCACGAACCTGAAGAGGGTGACTTACTTGGTGCTGGACGAGGCGGACCGCATGTTTGACATGGGCTTTGAGCCGCAGATCGGGAGAATTATCGGGAACACGCGGCCGGACCGGCAGACTGTATTGTTCTCGGCCACGTTCCCCCGCCAGGTGGAGACCCTGGCGAGGAAAGTGCTCACCAAACCGATCGAAATCCAGGTGAGTGATTCTTCCTCGTCTCTCTCTCACTCTCTCCCTTGCTCCCACGAATCAGAGGAGGGTGACGTATCTGGTGCTGGACGAGGCGGACCGCATGTTTGACATGGGCTTTGAGCCGCAGATCGGACGGATCATTGGGAACACAAGGCCGGACAGGCAGACGGTGCTGTTTTCCGCCACGTTCCCCCGCCAGGTCGAGACCCTGGCACGGAAGGTCCTGACGAAGCCCATTGAGATCCAGGTGGGTGATTCTTCCTCGTCTCTCTCCCACCCTCTCCCTTGCTCCCACGAATCCGAGGAGGGTGACGTATCTGGTGCTGGACGAGGCGGACCGCATGTTTGACGTGGGAACACAAGGCCGGATGTTTGACATGTTAGATCCTTAGGTCGAGGTGCCTGAATGTGCCTGAATGCGCCTGAATGTGCCCGAATGTGCCTGAACGTGCCTGAATGTGGCTGAATGCGCCTGAATGTGCCTGAATGTGCCTGAATGCGCCTGAATGCGCCTGAATGTGCCTCAATGTGCCTGAATGTGCCTGAATGTGCCTGGATGTGCCTGATTGTGCCTGAATGCGCCTGAATGTGCCTGAATGTGCCTGATGGTTCCTGAATGTGCCTGAATGTGCCTGGATGTGCCTGGATGTGCCTGAATGTGCCTGAATGTGCCTGAATGTGCCTGGATGTGCCTGAATGTGCCTGAATGTGCCTGAATGTGCCTGAATGTGCCTGAATGTGCCTGAATGTGCCTGAATGTGCCTGAATGTGCCTGAATGTGCCTGAATGCGCCTGAATGCGCCTGAATGTGCCTGAATGTGCCTGGATGTTCCTGGATGTGCCTGAATGTGCCTGAATGTGCCTGGATGTGCCTGAATGTGCCTGGATGTGCCTGGATGTGCCTGAATGTGCCTGAATGTGCCTGAATGTGCCTGAATGTGCCTGAATGTGCCTGAATGCGCCTGAATGTGCCTGAATGTGCCTGGATGTGCCTGGATGTGCCTGGATGTGCCTGAATGTGCCTGAATGTGCCTGAATGTGCCTGAATGTGCCTGAATGTGCCTGAATGCGCCCTCCCAACCTTCCCAGGTGGGATGGCGCAGTGTGGTGAACAGCGACATCACTCACGTTCATCCCCTCTCCCTCCCCCCATCCCCTGTGGAGCCTCGAGGCGCTCAAAGCAACACGTTCATCCTCTCCTTTCTCCCCAGTCCCCATCCCCCAATCCCAAACTTGTTGCCGAGACCCCTCTCCCCTCCCCCCCCTCCCCCCCCCCCTTTCTCCTTCCCTCCCTCCAAAGGTGGGCGGGCGCAGCGTTGTCAACAGCGACATCACTCAGACGGTGGAAGTACGCCCCGAGGGGGAGCAGGGCTTCCTGCGGCTCCTGGAGCTGTTGGGCGAGTGGTGCGACAAGGGCAAGACACCCACCTTCTCATCCCTCCCCTCTTTCCCCATCCCCAGGTGGGAGGGCGCAGTGTGGTGAACAGTGACATCACCCAAACCGTGGAGGTGCGCCCAGAGGGAGAGCAGCGCTTCCTGCGTCTTCTCGAGCTACTGGGGGAGTGGTGCGACAAGGGGAAAATCCTCGTCTTCGTGCACTCCCAGGACAAGTGCGACGCGCTCTTCCGCGACCTCCTCAAATCCGGCTACCCCTGCCTTTCGCTGCACGGGGCCAAGGACCAGACCGACCGCGAATCCACCCTGCAGGACTTCAAAACCAACGTCTGTAACTTGCTCGTGGCTACCAGTGTGGCGGCTAGAGGGCTGGATGTGAAGGAGTTAGAGCTGGTGATAAACTACGACGTGCCGAACCATTATGAGGATTACGTGCATCGGGTGGGGAGGACCGGGAGAGCCGGGAGGAAAGGGTGCGCTGTTACGTTTATCAGCCCGGAGGAGGATCGGTTTGCGCCGGACCTGGTCCGAGCCTTGGAGCTGTCGAAGCAGCCAATTCCCGAGGATCTTAAAGCCATGGCTGATGCGTTCACTGCCAAGGTGAAGGCGGGGAGTGTGGTGGCGCACGGGAGTGGATACGGCGGGAGTGGCTTTAAGTTCAACGAGGAGGAGGAAGCTGCTAAGAAGGCGCTGAAGAAAGCCCAGGCGAAGGAGTATGGTGTGGTTGTGGATGAGGAGGAGGGGGGCGAGGAGGAAGAGGAGAAGGAAGAGAAGGATGGCAGCGGGGCGATTCGGAGGGTTGAGGCGCCGAGTGCGGGTGGCGCGGCGGCGTCGGCAGCGCAGAGCATTGCAGCGGCCGTGGCGGCTGCTGCGGCTGCAGCTGCAGCGAATAAGGCAGGGGGTGCAGTGCCGGCAGTGGCAGGAGCGGCAGCAGCGAATCCTATCCAAGCAGCCGTGCAAGCCAGGATGGCCCAGATGGGAATCACCCCTGCTGCTGGCACTGCTGGTGCGGCTGGTGCTGCTGGTGCCGCCGCTGCCCTTGCCAACCCGCTCGCTGCCTCCCTCGTGGGAGCGGCAGCAGCAGGGGAATCAGCAGCGACAGCCATCGCAACAGCCGCCGCAGCAGCCCCGACCCCTGTCTCCCGCGCAGCGGCCTTCGCAGCCGCCATCAGCCTGCAGCACAACTTAGCGAAACTCCAACCCGCCGAGCCCGTGAAAGCGCACTATGAAGCGGAATTCGAGATCAACGAGTTCCCGCAGCACGCGCGGTGGAAGATCACCCACAAGGAGACGCTCAACCAGATCATCGAGTGGACGGGCTCGTCCGTGACCACGCGAGGGCTGTACTGCCCGCCGGGCAAGGCATTAGCGGCTGGGGAGAAGAAGCTGTACCTGTCGATCGAGGGGCCGACGGAGGCGAGTGTGAAGAAGGCCAAGGTGGAGATCAAGAGGATCATTGAGGAGGCGAGTGCTGCTGATGCATCCCACCAGCAGCGGCCCGTGCAGCCCGGGCGGTACTCGGTTATGTGATGAGTGGGCAGGGGCGGGTACTCTGTCAGGTGACTGCTGCTGTGTGCGCAGAGGGGATAGGAGGGATGAGAATTGTGGGGGGATGGGGGATTGTGGGGGGCTGTTGGGTTGGGGGTTGTGAGGGAGTGTACGAGCAGCGCCTTGTGCAGCCGGGGAAGGGGGAGGTACTTGGTGATGTGATGAGTGGGAAGGGGGGGCGGTGGTGTCCCTTGTAGCTCCATGATGTGACTGGTGCTGTCTGTGTGTAGGGGACAGGGGGGGGGGGAGGGGTTGAGTAGTGATTGATTTGTACCGATTTTTAAGGCGCCTAAGAAAAAGGAGCTCCTTGATTTGACTGGTGCTGTCTGCGTGTAGGAGACGGGTGAGGGGGTGAGCGGTGGTTGATTTGTACCAGTGGGGGGCGGTGTCGGCTCGTGCTGAGCAGTGAGGTGCGGGCAGACGGGATGAAAAGCGGCTCTTGTGACCTGTCTTAGCTCTGATGAGCTCACACATGTTCCAGAATGCCCCCTCTCGGTTGGGTCATTGCTCAATTCTACCCATGGGGTTGTGCTGGGTCCTGAGTAATTTCCTGGTGTCGGCAGTACCTGTTTTATGTGACAGCTACCGGTAGGCTGTTGGAAACAAGTAATTTAACGCTTCTGAAGTAATCGAAGTATCGACACGAAACGGAGCAGACTACAGCGAAGCAACACGCGAGTCAACAAAAGTAACAGCTAGAGGTTGCGCGAAGGTCATGTTGGAAACAAGTAATTTAACGCTTCTGAAGTAATTGAAGTAACGACACCAAACGGAGCAGACTACAGCGAAGCAACACGCGAGTCAACAAAAGTAACAGCTAGAGGTTACACGAAGGTTAAAGGTCGCTGACCTTGACTCGACGAAAAATACAGTGCGACAGCAAGGACACATAATTGACTCGATATTGAGCAGTTACCCGAGTCGTCACTGTATCGAACCGCAACAATAAAAACAGTTAAAGTAAAACCTTTCATATTCCTCTGTAATCATATAAAAGCTTGTATCTCTCTGCTATTATTAACTCATCTTGTTCTCACATACCAGTGCAAGGTGGTTCAGTAAACTTTGTTATTACGCTTCCGCAAACTACAACATTCCTACTCAAAGGTCTTAGCCTTGAAAAAGATCCTAAGAGCTTTTCTCAGCCCAACATGGTATGAGGGTACGTTCCTGTGGAGACACTTGTGTCTCAATCCTTTTGTGACGCGTAAAACCAGCTTATAACGTACAATGTCACAAACGCGTGTCGCCCTTGTGCGACTTTTAATGTATTTTTCATTTGTCAGCGTGAAACGCGCTGATGTCGCGGACGAGTTGCGTATCAACGCGTCATTGTCAACAACTCTGTACGCGGTTCGAAATGTCAATGCACCTGGACATTCCATAGTAAAAATCTCGCGCGGGAAAAAGTTCCGCTCGTCAAAACACCACCCGAACCAGACAGTTGAAGAAGCAGGTGTTCAGTCAAGTTTGAAATCCAATCAAATGAACACAGCTGTAAATCTCGCCTGGTCGCACTGTTTCGTGATACACTCATTTTTTGTGACGCGAGATTGCAAAAATGTGTAGACGCGACTCGGAAAAAAGGGGATTGAGACACAAGTGTCTCCACAGGAACGTACCCTGAGAGCCTCCAAGGCAAGATCGATTACCCAAACTCCTACAACAACACAAGGCATGGCAACACAGGAGAGGAGCTCTTCCAACGGATCTCCCGGCCCTACTCCTACTCCACCTCCAGCCTCTGGCCTACAGATAGAGGAAGGCACAGCAACAAGACCAGCTGCGGAATCAACCGAAACTCCCGGGAATCAAGCAGCAGGCTTCGACCCAAACATGATGGAGAAATTCTTCTCCTTCATGTCCTTCTACGAGCAACACCAGCAAGCAGCTCCTGCGCAGTCAAACAACAGTGACAACAACTACAGGGTTACTCCAATGAGCCTTGACGGTTCATCTTATGCGCGCGGAAACCAGCAGCAACCTACCTTTGCTCCGTACGAACCTCAACGCGGCTCCATCAGCTTCACGCCACACCAACAGCCTTCACTTGGACAAGAGAACACATTGGACGCGCTTCAGGTTCAATCACAATTCGCACATGTTTTAAAACTGCAGACATCAACACCCTTCGACGGAAAAGACTTCTATATCTGGTCATTCGAGTTCGAACTGATGATGGAGGGCGCGCAAATACTTGGATTCTTCGACGGGTCCCTGCCATACCCAATACACGGGACGCAGTACGACAAGCAGAAGTACACATATCAGTCACTGATGGCGTATACGATACTTCTGTGAAATCTATCTCCAAACGAGCAGCAGAACATCCGGTCTTATCGAGGATACGGCAACTCCGCCGAACTGGCGTACGACCACCTGAAGAGCCTGTATCAAGCAACAGACAGTGTTAATCAAAGTCGTCTCATGGCACAACTGACAACAGTGGAAATGAAACCAGGCGAAAAGGGAATGGCGTATATCAGCCGTTGTCGTGGACTGCGCGACAGACTCCTTCGATGCGGAGGATCGATATCCGAAGAAGCCTTAACAGTTATCATCGCTGGCCTCGGTCCTCATTGGCGCTCCACTCGAGCACTCCTCCGAGCTCACGGGAAGATCTCCGAAGCAGCACTCTGCACCCAAATTCATGCTGAACAGGAGGATATGGACCTACATGAAGAACGAAACAAGAAAAGAGCATCAGCACCAGAATTCGCGTTTCATACTCAACGACGCTACAACAAGAACAAAAATCGATAAAACAACCGACAAGTTCAACAGTACGTCCCACCGTTCTGTCACCTCTGCAAGACGTCAGGACATCCTCGCACACACTGCTTGAATCAGCAGCAGTCGACGTCGTCGCAACGTCAACTTCGACCCTCAAGCAGTCAAGTAGCTTCTACACAGGCACATCCCACCAATCAAGTACAGTCTTCAACGACATCAACAACAAAACCTGCGCAAGGCACAAGAACCATCGTAAGCTGTATGACAAGAACGACAGACTCCTGCATCACTGGATCACCATAATTCTACTCACCAGAAGAACAGCTCGACAAGAGCACTCCTCGCCGCGAATCACTGGAGCCCAACCCGACGTATGCAGCCATCGCCCAGAGCGAGCCGTCCGGAAAAGACACTTGGTGTTGAAATTAATGAACGAGAATGAATGAACTATGAAACAGTTGGGTACAAGTGCTAACCCAAATTGGGTTGTACCCCTTATGGGCTATCCCAGTATAGCCTACACAAATGTAAAAGCTATAATGTTTTGACACACCCCCATAGGCAAAGTGGGGGAGAACAAGTGGTCACAAGACCAGTCAAGAAAAGCAAAGCAAGCTCAGGGTGGATCACAAAGTCACCATGCAGTCCGAGCACAAGCAAAGGGCCACAAGGCCAGTTCACATGCACAGTTATATAAAGAGAACAAACAATACAGTGATCATATCCGAGCAAGTGCAAGCATGCAGGTATAGATATAGATCACAGTACAAGCAGAGTCAACCAATAAGCAAGTGGGGCAAAGTAGGCACAAGGCCTAACACACTAGAGAAGCGCTGATGATCACCAGGCGGAAGTGCCTTGGTAAATATATCAGCAGTGTTGGCCCTAGTGGCCACGTACGCAAGACGAAGCTGGCCACGCTGCTGCAACTCTCGAGCAAGGAAGTATCGCAGAGCGTTGTGCTTCATTATGTGCTTCATTATGTGCTCCAGTCTGTGCTCCTGACACAAGGCAATCATGGCCTTGTTGTCTACGTACAGAACTGTGCTCTCCCAAGTCAGTCAGCAGGTAGGTGAGCCAGCGTAGCTCCTGTGCAGCCATGGCCCCGGCGTAGATCTCAGCCTCACAACTGGAGCTGAGAACCGAAGACGAGCGGGTAGACCGCCAGGAAACAGAGCCAGAGCCAAGGCTGAAGGTGTAGCCCTGTGACAACCGCTGCGTAGCTGAGTCGCCAACCCAGGAAGCGTCTGCGTGGCCGGTGAGGACAACTGGACCCTGTCCTCCAAGCACAAGCCCCATGCCCGACGTACTGCACAAGTAACTGTGAGAATGATAGACGAAAGAATGAATGAACTAGAAATGAGATGGGTACAAATAGAAAACACATAAGTGTTGTACCCTCTAAGAGCTACCCCACTACAGCCTAAATATACCATAGCAGATATAAGTTTGACACACCCCCATAGGCAAAGTGGGGGAGAACAAGAGGTCACAAGACCAGTCAAGAAAAGCAAAGCAAGCTCAGGGTGGATCACAAAGTCACCACACAGTCTGAGCACAAGCAAAGGGCCATAAGGCCAGTTCACATGCAGAGTGATATAAAGGAAAGCAAACAGTACAGTGAACACAACCTAGCAAGTGTAAGCATGCAGGTATAAGTATATAGAGTACAGTACAAGCAGAGTTAAGAAGTCAACAAGTGAGGCACAGTAGGTACAAGGCCTAACACAGTACAGAAACACTGATGATCACAAGGCTGAAGTGCCTTGGTGAAAACATCAGCAGTGTTGGCCTGAGAGGCCACGTAGGCAAGACGAAGCTGGCCACACTGCTGCAACTCTCGAGCAAGGAAGTAGCGCAGAGCAATGTGCTTCGTTCTGTGCTCAAGTCTGTGCTCTTGACACAAGGCCAGCATGGCCTTGTTGTCGACGTACAGAACTGGAGGAGAACGAGGCGCCTCTCCCAAGTCGGTCAGCAGGTAGGTGAGCCAGCGAAGCTCCTGTGCAGCCATGGCCCCAGCGTAGATCTCAGCCTCACAACTGGAGCTGAGAACAGAAGAAGAGCGGGTAGACCGCCAGGAGACAGAACCGGAGCCAAGGCTGAAGGTGTAACCCTGTGACGACCGCTGCGTAGCCAAGTCGTCAACCCAGGAGGCGTTAGCGTGACCAGTGAGGACAACTCGAGCCCGTCCTCCAAGCACGAGCCCCATGCCCGATGTACTGCACAAGTATCGCAACACCCTCTTCGCA